ACACATTCCCTCTCGGCCGGTGAGGACGCCCCTACCAGCCGCCTGCATTTCGTGCGCCGCGAGGGACGACGCACACACACACACACACACACACACACGCACAGACAACGACGCAAGCTCAGACAAGAGGCTGTATTCTATATATGGAGATATGAAGGGGAAAGGAGTGGGGAAAAGAAAAGGGAAGAAGGGGAGGAGGAGGAGGAGGAGCGTGGCACCCTCTCGACGCAGCGCAACGCAATGGCGCACGCGCACAGGAGCATGCATATGCACACAGCAAGGAGGCGACGCCCCTCTTCTCCCACCCTCACGAGCGCGCGACGGCAGCAGCACACACCACATATAGATATATGCACACGGGGATGCGCGCTCGCGCGCGCGCGCGTACACAACACGCACACAATCACAGAATGCGACCGTTGACGTCGGCGGACATGCGGAAGGGCTTGGACGGGTTCATGACATAGGTGTCGATGAAGCTCTGGGCCAAGTCATTCACCTGATCCGAGGGGTAGTGGTGGGTGTACAGGGCCACGCGCTTGGCGAACTCCGGCCGATGGAGGCGACCCGACTCGTTGACCAGCCCCTCGGCGAAGGCCTCCAGGCTCATGACCGGGGCACCGTTGGCCGGGGCGGCGGCGGCGACCTCGGCCGCGGCCTTGTCCGCCTCCTCACGCCGGAAGACACCGGCCAGGCGGGCCACATCCTCGGGCGAGGGCTCCGGCTGGAGACGACGCTCGGTGAGCCGGTGCGCCTCGGCCGGGTCGGTCTCATGGTAGAACTGCAGGCGCTTGGGCCGCGGGGCATTCCGGTTGGGCGGCCGGTAGTTGTCCAGCTCCCGGGTCTTGGACTTGTCACGCGGGGCCAGCAGATGCGGCCTGGGGTCCATGTACGAGCCATGCTGGCCGATCACCCGGTCGGCCTGGTAGCTGAGCAGCGGCCGCAGGTAGGGGAAGGTCCGGATCAGGTCCGTGTCGACACCGAGCTCCCGATCGAACTTGGCCAGGGTCCCAGCCTGAGCATGGGCATCGACATTGTAGATGCGCGAGATCAGGTCGTGCGAGCCCTCCTCCAGATCGGTATGGTCGCCGGCGGAAATGCCACTCGGCTCGAAGGCCCGGCGCTCCTGCTCATTGATCAGCTCATCCTCCAGGACGGACTGGGCCAGGTTCTCCATGTGCGGCGGCAGCTCCAGCCGCCAGGCACCCTCCACATAGCGGAGCACGGCATTCGGCTTGGCCGGATCCACCGGCAGGCCGGCCATGCGCTCGAGATCCTTCGGCGCCGGGGCCAAGCCCAAGCGCCAGGTGCCCTCGCCACCGAGGCTGTCCCCGGCCGTGGCCCGATGAAGCAGGCCCAAACGCGACAGGACGTCCAGCGGAGACAGCGACCCGGAGGCGACCACATCGCGGTCCAGATTCTCGAAGGCGATGTTGCAGTGGCGCACGGCCAGATCCAGGCGCACGCGCTCCAGCGGGCTGATCGCCAGCGGAGCCGGAGCCGCACCACGCGTGGGCGGCGGCGTCAGCGACACACCCTCACGCGCCATGATGGACTCCAGCGTGTCATACACGGCGGTACCCGGCCGGGCAGCCGCCGCCAGGCCCTTGGAGTTATCGGTATTCAGCTTGCCCTGCAGCCACCAGTCCGACCCGTAAACCATGTGCGTGGTTTGCAGGTTCTCCATGCCGATGTTGGGGTTCAGCAGATCCGGCATGACCCCCTCGCGCATGCGATACTCATCGCGCAGCACGTCGAACAGCTGCCCCGGGCGCGGGGTGGACCCAGCCTCGGTGGCCCCATCCGGCAGGAGGTTCAGCAGGCTGGCCAGGGTGCTCTCGCCCTGGCGGGCGTCCTGCTGCGTGAAGGATGCCCGCGCGAAGGCCTGCAGCTGGGGATCCGAGAAGTCCAACTCCCCGAGGATCTTGCGCCGGACCAAATCCGTCATAATGCGAATGAAGTGATCCAGCAGGACCGACTCCGACACGACCGGCGCATCGGGCGCATCACCGCCGGGCGTAATCGGCAGCAGCTCCTCCAGCGCGGGAACACCCTCATCGGCGGACTCCCCAGCATTGGCATCAGCACCATCGGCCGAGGCGGCCGACTGGCGCCGGTTGTGCCGGCGGCGCTGGTCAATCAGGGAGTTGGCGTACTCGGAGTTGGCAAGGCGCTCGTCCATCTTGAACTTGGCATACACCTCCGGGCCGAGGGCCTTCTCCATGCGAGCCAGGGTGTCGGACAGGTCCACCTGGTCCGGCTTGGCATAGTACCCCATGTAGTGGGTGCAGTACGAGAGGAAGGCCTGCTCCTGGTGCGGCGCATCGGCCGGGATGCGCGCCATCGCGCGCTCAATTTGCTGGCTGTCCAGCAGCGACCCGGTCAGCGGGGGCAGCTGGTTGGTGAAGAAGTAGTGCAGCTGGTCCTGCGGGTCGAGCTGGACAAACTCCTCCAGCTGGTTGTACAACGAGCGCAGGGTGATGTCGATGTTGGTGGTGGCCGGGGTCAGGTCGGCGCAGGTGGCCGCCTCGCGCGCCAGCAACGGGTCACTGAGCACCGCGCCGGTGAAGGCCTTGACCAGCTCCGGCGTCACGCGCGCCGCATCCAGGTACTGGAAGATGTTCAGCATGACGCGGTACTGCACGTGGGAAATGGTGGGGGCCAGGCGCGTCAGCACCCGCAGGGCCTCCTGGCACCCGACCGGCAGCGGGCCATCATGGCGGATGACATCCAGCACCGTGGCGTTGGGGGCCAGACCGCGGCGCAGGGCGGCCTGGCTGATGGGCGTGTTGATGGGAGTCCCGATGAGGCTGGCCTCCACCGGGAAGAGGTCCGCATACTGGTGGCGATCGGAGGACTGGGCGCCGGTCAGCAGGTGCGGGTTGAGACGCAGGTACTCGTCGGAAATGCGCATCGGCGAGTTGCTGCCAAGCAGGTACGGGTGCCCGAAGCGCTCCATACTGGCGATGTTGGCGAAGGACTGCGAGAACTCCGGCACACGGCGGAAGCGGTTCAGGACCTTGGCCGTGCGGCTGGCCTGGATCACCGAGTCCAGGTAGAACTCCACCAGCGTGTGGGACCGGTCATTGGTGGGGACCGGGTAGGCGAACTGCTGGGGGTTGACGTCGGAGTTGCAGAAGGCTGGCGGGGGGGGGGGGGGGG